CTGGTTTTCTTTAGATAAAAAACTTTGAATCAATTTGACTGTATGATCTGGTTGAACTGTAAAGTGACCTGAGATGACATGATGTGAATTGGAGCTATAGAAATACACTGAATAGAATTTATTTAAATAAAGAAAAGACTTAAATGTGTGAATTTAAATAATTTAATGTTACATTTTACATGAATGGTGTTTGAATCACGTATTAGATTAATAAATAGATTTATTCCAAGATATATTTTGGCTCTTTATGTGCCTCAGGATTCACATCACACTGATGTTAAAATCATCAACCCCCCCTCCTGACACCCACTCAGGGAATCCATGTTTTAAAGAATGGAGAAGACGAGTCAGGGAGGAGGTTCTGGTCCGTGTCTATGGACTGCACACCCAACTGGAATGAGAAGAAGCCATGAAGACCATGGTGAGGAAGTTCAGTTTTTCCAAAGGAGACAAGTTCTTTGAAGGAAAGTTTCTTCTCCACGTCCACAAGAAGACATGGTTGAGATGAAATGTGTTGTGAATTTGGTGCTATAGAAATAAACTGAATTGAAATTGAATTGAACTGAACTCAACATCGCTGGCCATACACACGCAAAATGGAAATAGGAAACACAGATGTATCTGCTGTTACCATGAGGTGAGCAATGCTGACTGCAAACACGGATGCCATGAATGATATATTACCTACTGTAAAAAAAAAAAAAAAGTTAACAAGTCAAGAAAAAGGTAAAAGTTTAATTAGATTGAAAGGTTAAAAAGTTAATAAGCCTAGTTAACAATAGGTTTTAGGTTTATAAACTAAAAAATGTAAGTGCCAGTATCAGCATTAATGCCTCTAAGGTTATGTTGGACCAAAAAAATAAATAAAAGTGTTTCTTTCACTCTGATTGTTTTTCACAAATTCTTTATAGAAGGACTTTAGTCATTTTTCTTAATATATTCGGGTAAGTTGGCATTTCTTGTTACATTGAAATTAATTTTTGCCATGAAAATATCCATATTTTTTTTTATGTTACAAAAGTAATAAGTTCTTGTCCTGGATTCCAATAACACTATTGGCAAGCATTTTACAGAGTGCCCTGTTAAGGGTTAAAGCCAGAATATTTTAATGGTTGTTTACAAAAACATGCAGAATACAGAATTTGAAGGATTTCCAGGAGAGGCAGGAAACCTGGTCCAAATTAAATGCAGAAAAAGCAACATTTGTTTAAATGCAAGTTTAAAGTGGAAACACAAACAAATAAACAGGATAGATTGTTTTATCAGAAGCATAGAATTAAATGGACTTACTTCATTTTGTTGAATGTTGTTTTCTCTGCTCTGTAAGGGACATCCAGGCAGGTGCAGAACTTGATGTCTGGATCTTCAGACTGGTGGGAGAAACCGAGGCGGTCCTCCTCCAGGAGCAGGAGAGACAGAAAGAGGAGGAGGGAGAAAATATCTGGAAGGGGGTCAAAGTCTTAGGACCCCCTGTGTGCTCCCCTTTGCCTAATAAACCTTAAACATGTAGAGATCAAAGCTTATGTGACACAACTAGCTACATTGATTTGTTTTTTATTCCCTCAGCGAAAAGTACAAATAAATCCGATTTTAATTTTATTCTCGCTCTTTCCTGGTCGCTAGGGGGCAGTAAAGCTCGTTTTTAATTTGATTTGATTGAAATGAGTGATAGATGAGAATATTAATTAAATATATTTTCATCCAGTCTTATTTTTAAAGAACTAATAAACCTTTACATTCCCCTTCCAGATTATTTATTTTTTCTGTCAAACTGAGTTAAGTAGTTTTCATGCATTTTCAGTAATTCTTTGATTAATTAATCTTTAAACAAAACCTTTTCAAACATGTCCTGATTGGAAACTTCCCTGCATGCTGATCCCAGCCCTGCTGCACACTGTGATCACTGCATGCAGAGCAGGTTAATCTCAAGCAAAAATCTGCTGAAATGACAGATTCCTGGTGGTCTGTAATAAATGTTGAATTATAGAACTACCACTGGGACATATAATAAATAATAAAAGAGTATCTATAGACTGGCGTCTACTTATAAGACCCTGGGGGCAGGAAATTCCTAAAAATTAATAATATATGTAGGATTACTGAGCAAAGCTTAATCACTTAATCTTCTTTTAGTTTGAATTTCGGAAAAGTCTTTAATGAACAGTGGAGTAATAATATTCTATGAAGAAATGTCCAGGTTGGTCCAAACTATGGAAGATCGGAACACATTTCAGATTCATAAACATTATTTATGGTTTTATTACTTAAAAAAAATATTTTTTTCAGCCTTGAGTTAAAAAAAAAAGGAAATTAATGAAAGTTTAACACAAAAAACACTTTAAAAGTTGGAGCAATATTTATTTTCCAAAATCTTGTTTGTTTGCTGAAGTGGATCAAATATTATTAGTCCTCTTTGGGTAAAACAATCCCTCTTTAAGATGTGCGCGACAGAAATGGATGTAAAGCCGGTGTTCATATAATTCGAAGTATAAAAAAAAAATGTATACCAGCAGGTTAAAGTTAAAATGTGTCAATGAGTTTATATTGTTTATTGCAGCTTTGAAATAGAAAAAAAGAAAACAGTGATATGAGAGCCACACATATTGTGAATTGAAGCTACAGTGTGTAATAATTCTAGGGTTTGTGGAAATAAATCTATAATATTATAGTATTTTATTTAATATCCTCTACAAACTTAAAGTCTCAATCTTTATGTTTGCGTTTGGTTATAAATTGCTACTCTAGAGGTCGCCATTACGCTCCTATATGCCTGCAGCAAGTTAGGCCTAAATAAAATCTGCATCCTACGCAGACTAATACAAATTTTGAAAATTATCTGTGTAAACAAACCTCGTTATGACTTGACAAGAAAGGTGATGGGGATATTGTGGAAGTCATTTTGTACCATGCTGGTTTCCGTACTATTGGAGGGGGAGAAGCGGTTCATGTCTGACCGTTAGATGTCGCTAAAAATGACACACTGTAGCTTTAATTACTCAGCCAACAAAAAAAATAATTACTGAAGTTACATTTGGCTAAATAAAAACAAAGCATGTTTTTCTTCATCATGATTAACAGTCGCTTCAGCAGTATTGGTCGGATGACCTTTGACCTGTCATTTAAATGCATCAGATGTCCTCACATCTTAGTTTTTCTTTAATTGAGGTTTCTGTGAGCTCAAATACAACTGGACTGGGTAATAACAGACTTAAGAGGGCTGATTATGAAACCCAGCTCCCCAATATGAGGTGGTTATTCTCTCAGCTGGCCGACTGATGCTCTGACATCAACATCAGCA